TTCTGTTCCTGCCTCAGGGCCTTTGCACTGGCTGCTCCTCCCTGTGTACTGAAGTTCCTCCCTTGTTACTAGCTGTTCCTTCCTTTGCACTGGCTGCTCCTTTTTCTGCACTGGCTCTTCCTTCCTCTGCACTGGCTGTTCCTTCCTCTGCATTGGCTGTTCCTCCCTCTGCACTGGCTGTTCCTTCCTCTGTGCTGGCTGCTCCCTCCTGTGCACTGGCTGTTCTTTCTGGCTGGAATGCTCTCACTCCCCCATATCCACCTCTCTCCCTTTCTCCCCGCCTTCAAAAATTTGCTCAAATGGCATCTGCTCAACAAGGTCTCTATAACTACTGCAACCTGTTGTCCAGACCAACAGTCCTGATCTCCCTGCTCTGTTCCATTTTCTTCCTTGGCACTCCCCACCATCTAATATGCTATATAGTCTGCTTGTCTTGTTTATTGTTGGTCTTCTCCTCTAAAAAGGAGTTCTAGTGATACAGTAGTTAAGTGCTCGGCTGCTAACCGAAAGGTTGATGGTTCGAACCCACCAAGTGGCTCTGCAGGAGAGAGGTGTGGTGATCTGCCTCCATAAAGATTACAGCCTGGAAAACCCTATGGAGTAGTTCTACTCTGCCACATAGGGTTGCTATGAGTTGGAATTGACTCGATGGCAACTAACAACCCCTTCTAAAAGGTTGTCCATGTGAGGACAAGGATTTTTATCTGTTTACTGCTGTATCCCCTGGCACCCAGAACAGTGCCAGGCACATACAGCTGCTCAGTAAATAAGTGAATGAATGAGGCTAAGAAAAGGGGGAGTGGTTTGCTCAAAGATATGAATCCTAGTGGAATCCAGGGCTCATCCTCTTAACCAGTTCACCCTTGGCGTGGGGAAGAGGAGCTGTTAAGAGCAGTTTTCTGGTGGGCGAGAGCTGTCCTGGAGCTGGACAGATCTAGGGGAACTGTTTCAGACAGAGGGAACAGTTAGTGCAAGGGTCCTGAGGTGACCATGGACCAGGAGGAGGGGACTTTGCACCCAGTTGTGTGTATGTGTGACACTTGGGGGGGGGACGACAAGATGACAAAAAATAGAAATTGCTACTGTTATGTCCCAAGAGGCCTTCCTGCCACATTCTGACACTACAGCTCCTATAACTCTGTTCCCTTTTCTAGCTGTATTTTACTTCACGCACACATATTTGGAGTAAAATCTGCAAAAGTCAGAACCTCCGTAAGGCAGAAACCTGTCAGAGAAGGAACTCAAGTATTTTCCACTAAAAGGAGAGTCAGAAAAGTGGTAAGACTGCACCTTGTCAAAGGTGGAAAACTTGTGAGACCTGGAAAAACAAGGCAGTTGTGCTGAGTTCCGGCTCTCACAGGTTTAACTGTAGTTTGTTTTTTAATGTCTGCCCCCTCACCTAGCATATCAACTCCACAAGGATAGGGATTTGTGTCTATTTTATTCCCTGGTGCATCTGCAACATATAGGAGGTGCTCATTAAACACTCTGAAGTGAACAAATGAATGAATGAAGAATATTCTGGGCTTGGTAGAGCTTATGAAGGTTACTTATTCTAATGCCTCTACCTCCAAAGTCCTATGAGATCAAACCTTCTCTCCACTCATTCTTCCCTTCAATTCCTCTACTCCAACCTCACTGGCCTCCCTGCTGCCCCTCGTCCACTAACCATTGTCAAGGTTACCTCAGGGCCTTTGCACTTGTTGTTCCCACTGCCTGGAACAGTTCACCCACACCTTTGCATGGTTAAGTTACTGCTCATAATTCAGGTCTCTCCTGAGATAGCTAAAGTAGCCACTCCCCTGCCCCCAAATTAGGCTCTTTCAGAGAAACCAATGAACATCATTTATCTTGTTTATGTGTTTACTTGTTATCTGTCTCCTCAACCAGACTGTGTTTTTGGTCTTGGGTGCTGTGGACTCAATTTCCGACTCATAGCGACCTCACTTGACAGAGTAGAACTGCCCCATAGGGCTTTCTAGGCTGTGATCTTTACAGAGGCAAATCAAGAGGTCTTTCTCCCACAGAGCTGCTGCGTGGGTTCGAATCACTAACCTTTCGGCTAGCAACTGAATGCTTAACCATTGCACCACCAGGGCTCCTTCAAGCTGACTGTAAAACCCTACAAGACCTAAGACCGTGTGCATCTCTCTCCTTCACGGCTGTATCCCCTGGATCTAAGTACAGTGGCTGTTCAGTGAAGAATGGATGGATGAGTGAAAGCCTGGGCAAAGGAGATCACCCTAGTTTGTCTTCTCTAGGGAGTCTCTGGGAGGGTGGTTGCAGGACAGGTCAAGAGTTGTTTATGCCAGGCAAAGAGGAACATTCTGAGAGGGAAAGCTTCACTGGGAACCACCGAAGACAGGAGTTACCAAAATGCGGGTGGGTGGGTGGGGTGGGAGGCGGGTCAGGAACATTTCTTAGGACCTGAAGCAGGAGAAGATGTGGACATGAGAGCAGAACTCTAGGGGAAGCTATTCTATTGGGGTAGGTGGGGGTTGAAAGGGTATTTCACAGGGAGTCAATGAAGTGTTCAAAGGAGAAGGAAAAAAAAAAAGTCATTCTTGGTGCTGCCCAGAACAAAAAAATTATTTTTACACCATCAAAGGGGGCATTTTGGAGGCAGGCTGCAAGAGTTTTGGTGGGCCCTTGTGTGTGTGGAGAGCAATAATGGGTAGCAGGTCTGCAGTAAAGCACTAATGCAAAGCTCTCTGGAGGCAATACTATACGGGATATTAATAGAGGTTTCACCACGGGCATGTCTTACCGGGGAGGGGCAATGCTGGTGGCATCTGAGGATTGTCCTGGAGAAAGCAATGATGGAGGGGCTATGTGTAAGGAATACTATGGAAAAGCATCAGTGGGGAGCCCTGGCAGCAGTTTGGGGGGGTCATGGATGAAAGCGTTTCGGCAGCTGTCCTACAGGGGGGTGTTAATGTAGAGATAGCTGGAGTGGTCGTATGAGGGGGCAGGAATTGGGGGACCCTCTGGCAGGGGCCCGGCGGCAGAAGCACTGATTGCGGGCATTCTGGGGACTAGAGCGGGCCAGGGCGGGGCCCCCCGCCCCCGTTGCATCCGGGGCCCCGGGCCGCAAGCCCCGTCACTCACCGGCGCCGGGGTCTCCGCCGGGAGGAGGCCGAGGAGGCGGAGGAGGCGCCGCCGCTCCGGGGAGACCCGAGCGCCCGGCCGGAAGTGCCGCCCCC